CTTTAATTATTCAATGCAACTCTTTTTAATTTTTTTATATTTTATTTTATTTTTTCAGTTTTTTTCAATTTGTCTATAATAATAAATGTTTATTGCATTTTTTGTCCAAAAATTTCTTTATTTTTTAATGCATATTTTTCAAATTGTTCATGCATATTTAGTTGATTTTTAGTGCATAAGTGCATACATATTCATACATTTTTTAGTGCATAAATATCCTAACCCTACTAATAACATTTCTGTGTATATTACATCAACTTTTACGAAAATCCTAGCAAAGTCAACATTAGTGACATCTCCGAACTTATATAGGCTTCAAGTTATATCATAGAGCACTTTATGAGTTAAATGGAAATAAAAAAATTGAAATTTTTATTATTTTTTTTATCAGTGTAAAGAAAGAAACCATATACTTTTTCTCTAATATAAATATATATTATAAATTATAATAGCTGTATCTTTATATATCTTTGTAAATTTACATAGTTTAAGTACTTTTGTGTCAGTTTTTAAGCTTTTATATTTAGTTTTGTTCAATTGTGTACATATATGACATATTTTTTAAAATATTTACATGCATATTGATCATTTATACTGTCTTTATACATTATTAATGTTGTTTAACCACGACCGGTAGGTAAGTTGATTGGACTCCTGGGTACAATATAATTTAGTATAATAACTGTATTAATTTCATATAATTTTTTACGTGCAGATGTAACTAACCGATCTATAATGATTAGATATCTCGATTACGGCTCTACAGTACTAAAATATTTCAAATTAAAATAAAATACATCGATGAAGAATCGTTGTTTGCTAACACATCATAATTGATATCGAAATTTAAAAACCATCAGTTATTCTTGAATGTTTCGTATGTTCTTGTATTGGATCGCTGCTGCCCCTTTTTCACTGTACTCAGTACTGTCGATGCACACTCGTTGAAAGTACGACGAAGAGGCCAACACGGAACCGCCAATCCACGTGGAAAACTCGCGATCGAGCGGCGCGGTGATCCTGACCTCCGTTCCGGGCAACCCTTCATCAATCATTGACTTCAACCGTTCGGGAAAACCGGAAAACAATGTGTTGCCGCCGGCCAAGAAGATATTATCATACAGGTCGTTTCGTTCATTAGCATAGCAATTGCCAATCGATTCTTGTATCAAACTGTGGATGCCTTCCTTGATGGGTTTATCGAGACGCAACATAGTGGGATCAAACATCGCTTCGGAGCATCGGATACTAAAGATTTTTAGGTAAAGAAAATTTTTTCTGTTCAACCGGTCCGAGTGAAATGTTATATTATTATTAATTATTCGGGTATTATGCTTATTCTACTGTGTATCTGGAAAAATGTCGGTTATAGTTGAGAAAGCTATTTAATAAAATATATCATTACGTTCATATATACTAATTTGATTTGGTCAATACATTTTCCGACCTCTACTTAGGAGAAATTTACAACTTTCTTATCTAATATTTACAAACAAAATGTATACATTTTTAAATTTAAAAATTATAAATTTAATACAATTTACAAAGTTATTATTACTCGTCCACCTTATTTGAAAAGTAAGATACTTATTACTTATATACCAAATACGAAATGTGTAATGGTTAAATCGCATCTAACTTTAAAACACTTTTAATATAATTTTCAGTGGCGGCGCGTTAGGGTAGACAATGAGACATAGTCTACCCAAAAATCCCAAAAATATAAAACAATTTAATTAAAAAAATTAGTTATTTATTATATGATACTATACCTACTATATAAGTATTTTATTTGTTCATAATTTTATAAATAAAATGTTATTTACACTGATTCGTCTCTACAATGTCTGTGTGAGTAACGACTAACGAGTATGACTAAATAATAAATATATATAGTATAATTTTATTTATATCTTATCAATAATTATGTAATCGCTCCGTTGTCGCCGTCAAATCGGTCGAGACATATTGAATTGTGTCTCACTATTGATGACGAGGGCTTATGACATGGTAAACGGGGACGTAGTGGGGTATTACCAAAATTATATGCATGGACGAGACATGTCTCAACGTAATATTTTAGTAATTTAATTGCACATTTGCATTCCGATTGTGGTTAATGGCACACGTTTAATGTTTATCATTTTTTCTTAATGAAGTGATATACATTTAAAACTTAATATGTCAGATATTATTGATATTATTTTAAATAAAGGTCTTGGTTCTTTTTCGCAACAAAACAAAATCGGCGAATTAATTTAAATTATATTCAAATATAGTTATTTTATGTAATTTACTTTTTTTTATGATGATCTAATTTTTAAATAAATTTTATATAACACCATATTATCTTTGGTTGTCTTGTTGTCTACCCTACGAAATTGTTCACGCGCCGCCACTGATAATTTTTATAGTTCCAGTTGTCTGCGTTCTTAAATATTTATTTTCACCCGATTGGACAGTATTCGTGTTTAGGATTTTTAATGTTCAACCGTATAAAGTAGGCTAGAATCATACCTACTTATGTTAGTATTTAAAATATCATAGATACCTCGAGTTAATTTTCACTGAACGTGGTTTACCTTTATTAATAATGTTATAAAGCAATCTCCTAATTTATATTAAATAGGTATTAATAAATGTTTTTAACATTATATTTTATAGGAAATAAACAATTATTAGATGGTGTACCTACAAATAGAATTATTCATTAATTAATGATAATTTATGAAGAATTGTTATTAATTTATTTTTGTCCAAAACATGGCTGTTTTATTAAATTATTATTTGATTATAATATTTAACGGTGAATATATTAATTTAACAACGATAGGGTTTTTTTTAAGTGTGTTATATATTATGCATGATAAGTAGTTAAAAAATATTTCACTCTTACATTTTAAGAATGGTATTTAATAGAAAATCGAATCTTATGTATTTATTATTTAGTATTCCTGTGAGGCTAAAATAGAAAATTCTTAATGTTTTTGAAAATAATCAAGAAAATAAACAAAAAACGGGAATTTTACGCAAAACCAATTTACAGCAAAATCTAAGTTTTTTAATTTAACTAAATGACGAATAAACGTGGTACTTTTTTTTAAGTTATTTATAAGCATAAGAAATTGTCGATACTTTATTTTTATTTTTCAATTTTTGTTAATGTAAATGTTTTTTTTAGGTCAACATTTTTAAAAATTTAATACATACAAGGTTTTTCATATGCTGTTTAACTATAATAAAAAAAAAGCTTGCCAGAAAGTTACATTAATTTTTTATAAGCGTTTAAAGTTTAAATTTGTACATAATTGAATTCATCCGTGAAATAATCATTTTTTTTCTTTAAATAATCTTTGATACTTTTTTGTAATTTAAAAATATAAATAAATACATACGAATAAATGAACGTAACAAATTTTAGATTTTTATTTCTATAGTTGTAAATAACAAAAACTTTAAAATTTAAAACAGGGTTTCTTGTTGGCTATAACTATTTTGAAATATTAGAAACACATGACACAAGTTTTGTTCATAAGCATTTAAAGTTCAAGTTGTTGACAAAAATTCGTCAACATTACGAAAATTCGCAAATTATTTTGTCTCTAACTATTTACAAAATGTTTATACAAGGTTGCTCATAAATATTTTATATAGAAATTAAAAAATCTAAAATAATTTAAAAGCAATTTTTTTTTAATTTCAAATTTGAATGAAATTACATATATACCTATAAATCAAAAACAACAAATAACGATATTAATTATTTTATTATAATTCAAAACGTTATTGTTGGGGACTTAAATATTTAAATATATTATGAATTTTACTATACGTAATGACATTTTCAAAATATGTAGATTTGTTTTATGCTATTGCCTATTTATACCATAAAATAATTCCCTTTATTTTACGGTATGGTGGTATTGACTATTGACTTAAAAACAAATAACAATAATAATTTAATATAATATAATATAAATAAACTATCTATTATAATAACCTAACCGAATTACCTAACAGACGATAATAATATAAATTACTTTAATAACAATGTCAAAAATATATCTTTATTCTTTAACTGGTTTAACTATAGTGACATAGAATATATAGATAATGTCTATAATAGGAGTTAGGACATACAACTTTTACGTTCCTATATTATTATATTTTATACACATAATGATATTTTTAAATGTAATATTTTTGCCAAGCATTAATTCAGCCTATTATATTACTAATAGTAAAATAAATTACTTTATTTAATAGTAATATCAAAAAACATAAAATTATAACGTAGGTAATGATATTTAATGAGCTGGTCGTATCCGCTCAGAATCGCTTTACAATAATATATTAATACATCAATGAATTTAAATTTAATATATTAGTCACAGTGACCCATTCGACATTTACTAATTACTATATAAGCATACAGCAGAGTGGTACCTACTTGCCCAACTTTTTTAATTTAAATTTAAAGTTCATAGTAAAATACTAACGCTTCATTATTGATATTGACTATCATTCCATCTGGCAGCGTGTATCTCTGTTCCTTATGTTTACCAAACGTTGTTAGTTCTTTTTGAAAGTCCATAGCACAATAGCAAAATGTTTCTTTCATGTGTTTTATTTTTTCCCAGTCTCTCTTCGTGGTTAAGCTATAACCTCTGTTATTAACCATTTGCTTAAGGAATTGAGTTAAGTGCCATCCACCGACTGGTATATTTCGCATAGCGTGTGAAATCGAATATCCTTCGTAAATAGGAACGATTTGTGTACTTTGGTACCCAGAATCGACCACCAGACCAGTGGTCTTGCCGCAGCTATATAAAGAAAGTATCGACTTATTCATCAACAACACTTTGGGCACGTTAAACACTTCAAACATGATCTGAAAAGCAATATTAGTCGAAATATAGAACCAGAATACTATAATACTTTTAGTTAATATCTATAAAATATAATGATATTATTAGTCTGTTATTCTGTTTAAAAATTTTTAAATATCTAAGTATTAATTTCATGTTTTCTTTATTAAGTTATACAAACTATTTTATAAAATACTATCAGCAATCTTTAAAGTATTTTTTAGCACACGTTTAAATATTTTAATACCGTTTAGTGTAATATCATTATGATTTATCTTATTGTAATATTACTATATTTAAAAAAAAAAATTGTTTATTTTAATGATTCAATATTAACCTCAAAAAGTTTATCACGACATGAAATTGGATTGTGAGTTGGCTCTGTGTGTAAAATCGCATAATTTTCTGGAGGTACTAACAATTGTTCGTAGTACATATGGAACCAAACGTCTTCCATAGCATCCCAATCAGTAATGATGCAATTTTTTATTGGATCACTGATATTTAAAATACCTTGGTTATCCTTAGCAAATTGACCACCATATATGGGCCTCTGCGAAGATTCTAGCACGACTAGCTAATATAAACGTAAATGATTAACTAATGTACAAACAAGTGAGTATTTAGAATCATTTTTAAATTATGATTAAACTGAAAATGTATTGTTAATAGTTTTGTTTTTTAGTAGGTATATGTGTATTACGGTTTATTATAATACACATAGATAGTATTATATTTTTGTTTTAAGTATTAATATTGATGTATTGAATCTTACAAACAAACACGAACAACTACAAGTTAGGTACAAGTGTATACACAATTTGATAAATGAACCACTTATCTTGTATTCAATTTCAATAATTTTTTCCCATCATACATTTTTTATCAATATTCATAAAAATAAACTAAAAAAATCGAAAATTTAGATTGTCTATGATTAGTTTAAAAGAAGTTAAGATATTTTGATAATGTATAATAAATGAGAACCTAAAATTCAGCGAAAATTTCAAATTTCCGTGATTATTTGTTATTGAACTATGAAAAATAAAGAAATTAATTGAGTGGAAAATTTGTTTAGTGAAAAAAATTCTTCTTTTTCTTTAATCTTGCTTGTTTTTTAATCTAAAAAACTGGAAGTTTTTAATTTTTATCTATTTGAAGAATACACTAGATACAACTTTCCACCAAAAACTACCCTCAAAGTAAAAGGGGGAAAGTAAGTAACTGCTTTACAATACAATAGGTGTGAGTGTATCTCATCCTTGATGAGTGAATAACAGTAATGTGAAAATTTGAATTCAATAATAAATCATTGCATACTGCGAAAAAAAAAAATCAAAAATAGTCCATTAGTCTATTTATTAAGGATATTTTATAACATATTCATATTGCTATTAGAAATACGTTAGTTTTAATTCATTTTTGTCAAAAATACTGTATTGAAAAATATCATTGTTTGTAAAAAATATAATAATATCTATTAGTTAAAAATTTCAAGTACTCAAGAATAATAATTTTAAATTGCAAAAAAAAAATCTATTAAAATCGTTATTTTTTGAATAAATATTATCCAATTTAAGCTTACAATGTTCAATAAAAACTATATTTATCTTATAAGTTTATATATTAATAAAACCATAAATTTTTCATGTTTTAAATTTATATAATAATTTTAATACTAGGTAACAATGTATAATTAGTCTATATTTTAACTTAGATGCCTATCATACTATTTTGGTAGAAATATTGATGGTCATAAACTTAAACGTCATTATCACACAATATTAAAGCATTAAGTAAACCTTAATTAAAGAATAAGAATAAAAAATTGTTTAATGAAAAAAGTGTATTTAGTACTTATACGTATAAGTCTCTAAGACGATTATATATTGATGTATAATCAAACATACTTTTCACTGTAATAGTTCATTTTGAATTATGTAAATTATTTAGGTTAAAGTAATTTAAACATTTGGTTTATTTCATTCATTACACAAAAATTGACATTTTATCAAATAATTTATCTTATTCTCGACTACCTATGTTATGTTTAGTATTATTTTAAATTAAATATAATATATTATCATTAGGGCTAGGGACTTATTGAATTTGCATATTTTTATTGAATAGTCCAAAAAATTGCTAAGTAAGACAGAAATTTGTTTCAAGTTGTAGCGAATTTAAAAACACCAAAAAAAAATATGCATATTTTTGCATATATTGCAATTTTTATGAAAACATGCATTTTTTATGATGAATACATTTTTTATGCATATAACATCCTTATTAAGTACGACGTAGATTATTTCCCACAATATTATGGATAATATGGACGTTTTTGTTTTTCATTTAAGAAAAATAAAATAAAATAAGAATTTTATAAATAGAATGTTTCCATGCATTATCGAAATAAATTATTATCGACTAACACCAAATGAAGATAAGATATTTCTATCTGCTAGCCATACCGTCCGCACTCAGCACGTCAGTCTCGCCTTTCGTGTATTGCGGTATCGTGTGCTTAATTGTTAACCAATATTATATTTTTATTTTTGTATCAAATTTCATTAAATTTTTAATTTAATTTCGTTTTTGTTACAAAAATTCCTAAGCAAATTACATGTGCTTTAGTTAAAAAGTATATTACAGAATTTGGGTCAGATGTTTTTTCAGCAGACCAAAATGTGTTGTTTTGTAATTTTTGTGAAACAAAAGTGAGCGTGGATAAAAGGTTTATTGTCACCCAACATCTTAAGACGGAAAAACAAAAACGGGCAGCTAAGCGCATTGAAAATCGTCCAGGTACAAGTAAAATACACAATAATTTATAACGGACACAACAAAAAGTCTATATTTAGTCACGATCTTTGTGAAGCTTTGATGTCAGCCAATATACCTTTGAATAAATTATAAAATCCATATTTTAAAGAATTTCTATCGAAGTACACTGGTAAAGATATTCCTTCTGAGTCAACGTTACGAAAAGGTTATGTTGATGAAATTTACGAAATCAAAATTCAAAAAATTAGGGATCATGTTCAAAATAAATGTATTTGGGTATCAATAGATGAAACTACCGATATTACAGGTAGATATGTAGCTAATGTTGTTATTGGCATTTTAAATGAAACTGGGAGTAGTATGATTTTTCTTTTACATTCCGAGGAGTTGAAAAAATGTAATCATTCCACAATTTGTCAATTATTTGATAGATCAATGAACTTACTTTGGCCTAACGGTATTCAGCACGATAAAGTATTATTGTTTCTTAGCGATGCTGCCCCTATATGGTAAAAGCTGGGGAAGGAATTAAATTATTTTATTCAAAAATTATACACGTTACGTGTTTGGCCCATGCATTTCATAGGATCGCAGAAACTGTACAAGCAGGATATCCAAAAGTTGACAAACTTATCGCAAACGTAAAAAAAAAATGATCTCACATATTTTAAAAACTGTCCAATAACATCAGTTGACGTAGAACGTTCGTTTTCAATGTACAAAAATTTACTTACTTTCAATCGACGTTCATTCAAGTTCGAAAATATCAAAAAATCTTTAATTATTCAATGCAATTTCCAAGGTAAAATAACTTATAAAATAATCAATAAAAATAGTAAGTATAAAGGAAAATTTGTTTTATTTTACAGAGCCGTTAAAAGAAAACCTCTAAGAAAACTTTTAAACCACTTTTAATAGTATAACTACAATCTTTACTAAGATTTTCAAAATTGTTATAAAAGAATAAATTATTTTTACACATTTAAAATAAAAAAATTAATTGCATATTTGAGTGCATATAACATTTTTTTTGCATATTTTTGTGCATTTTTTATGATAATTTAATGCATTTTTGCATGCATATTTTCATAGTTTTCCATGCAATAAGTTCCGAGCCCTAATTATCATATATACATAATGGTATTATTAACTCACTGTTCCCTACCACAAGTTCATTTTTGGTCCAGCTTTATCAAAATACTTAATATGTATATTGAAAATATACTTTTAATTTATGTGTTTGATACTTATTACAATTTTGATTGATGATAATAATAATAACAAATTTAAAAGTGAAAAAATATCTCAAACATACATAAAACCGTTGTACAAAAATATTTCACGACCACAATATTCGACATTAGGTACTTGAAGTAATAATATTATACTACCTATTGAATACTAACCAATACTATTCTACTAGATTCGAGTTGTGTGCCAATTAATAATTGATTGAGACATTTTTCGTCGGGAACTCTAGTAACAATAATTAGTCTATACTTTATACTGACTATACTCTATAGGTATATTACGAATATTTTAAAATGCAAAAATAACTTACAAGGTACTTTACTTTATTATATTCTTACTTTTAAACTCGGTAATAGATAAATTCACGGAAATATTAAGCATTAAGGAGTAAGATGGATTCTTTAAAACGTATAATTTTATTTATCTTTGCCACGTTATACATTTGTAATGGTGCATCCGATTGCATGCTAAAAACAAACATAAATTGAATGTCCAGATTGTATATGCCATCTTTTAGTTGGGTCTGTCCAAATTGTATGTCCTGTACAGTTTTACTAAATAAAATAATTTAACTTACTTTTCCACTGAAGTAGCAGGCTTTTGTTACATTACAATAAAATATATAGATATTAGTCGAGATAACACTGTGAAAAAAACGATTGTAGTTTAGGGTAATCAAGTAAACATATTTTAAATTTGTACATGGTATTTCATAAAAATAATAATATTATAAAATTTGGTGGAGTTTATTTTGACACTTCGGGCATAGAATATCACAATTTCAGTAAACAATATATTGTATGTAATAATAATAATATTACCTGTAACGTCATAGAAATTTAAAAGTATTTTATTTATATTGTTGTCAGTAGAACTTCATGTATGCCAACTTATTTATCTACAAATAATTCTATTGATTTCATTTATTGTGCACATAAGTGCATGGTAAATTATAGTGTTGGGCGAGTATTGGTTTTTGAAGTCAAGTTGAGTCGAATCGAGTTTCAATTACATCGAGTCGAGTCGAATTAAAATTCGAGTACTGAAAAATGTCGAAAGTACTGAAAAAGAGTCGAGTATTGATGACAATTTGGTAATATTAAAAATCACCCAAGTCGGTATATCCGTTCTCAGCGATCTTCATACATGCATAACGATATTAGGTTACTATAGTTACTATAATATAAAGTTTAAACCATCAACCATCCTAGAATTTATCGCGAATACTGTATTTGGGTTCTTCTGCTATTTATAGTTTCAAATATTTATCAATTATTTTTATAATATACTATATAGTGAAACACTGAAACAAGTACTCGATTCAATTGAGTATTTGGTTCAATGAGTACTGTATTTATGAATACAAAATTTTTAGTCGAGTCGAGTCGAGTTCAAGTATCGACTCGAAAATTTTTCCAAAGTCGAGTACTGAACAACACTAGTAAATTAATTTAGATACATGGCATGCAAGATAGTAGTTAATGAGCAGTGTCTCTTTAAGAGAGATAATGCTAATTTGAATTTTTGGCATAGTATTTGATGCAA